ATCTGAAGTAACACCACTAAGGATGTATGTCTTTTACGTGTTTCTGGTCATAACATAAACACTTTCAATGTTTTACACTATATATGTACATATAGTATTTGCTTTTAAGTTTTATAATAGTTAAGGATTATCAAGTTGACAACATTTCATTTTCTATTTATTTCGGTAAGATTTTTTTGAAAATATAGAAGAGATTGTGATTTTTTAGTCCCCTTTTTTTGTAATTATTGGGATGATTATTTTCTCATATACAGGTTAATTAGTTATGTTATTTTATTTCCTAATACTAAAAAAGCAATACATTCCTGTGATAAGTTCAAAAATTTTTAAGATGTATTCCATTTTTATTTGTTCTTGATTTGGTTTGAAGATATTTAAGATATTGCACCTATGTCTATGTGTGAGACTTGCTTGTAATTTGACTTGTAATATTGTCTTTATTAGAATTGGTACCACAGTTATGAGATTTAGTTAAAATGATATATGGGTGTGTTTCCATTTTTTGTAACAGTTGTGTTAAACTTGATTTATTTTTTCCTTGAATGTTAGGAAGTAAAAACTGCCCAGACCTGACCTTTTTGGAAATGATATTTAAAAACCATTTTGGGTTTCAAAATGGTTAGAGTAACAATTTTTGTTTTAAGTTGGCTTTAACAAACACTACGTTTTCTCAGGAAGTATAAGTTTTCAAATTTATTTCAATAAAGATTTCACGGTTTCCACCTGTTAGTTTTTAAATATTAGTGTCCTCTGTTTTTATATGTGTTTGCCTTCTCTCTTTCTTCTTAGGCATTCTTAGTTTTTAAATCTTAAAGACTTATGAATCTTGTTTGTTTTTTCTAAAAAGCTCACTTTTGTTGACATCTTGATCATTTCTTTGTATTTCTTATTTTTACAATTTGTCCCTTATCCTCTGATATTTAATTTTACTCTGCTTAAGTTGTATTGTTGAAAATTCTCTAGTGCAACTTTAATTGGAGCCACAAGTTTTATTACACGGTTTTGTCACTACTTTTCATTTCTGCTTTTATTAAAGCTCTTTCATTCCTTGAGTTATAGAGGAATATTTATTAATTTCCAAACAATTTGAATCTTCCTAAATTATGCGTGTTCTTGATTTTTAACTAAATTAATTTGTGGCCAATTTTTTTTTTAATTTCTTGAGACTTGCCTTAGAGACTTGACCAAGATCAATTTTCATGAGTGGACCTAGCATGCTAGAGAAAAAGGTATATGTTTTCTTAATTATTAAGTGCAAAGTTATGTATTTACCCAGTGTATTCAGGTATTAATTATGCAAAGTTTTCAGAATTTCTACTGATATTTAATGTCATTTACGGAGTGAGATGAATTAAATTCTCCCAATGGATGGTGGATCTATGTCTCCATTTAATTCAGTCAATTTTTGCTTTATAGTTTTGAAATGATATTATTAGGTGCTCAAAACATTAGAATCATTATTTTTCCGCAGTGAACTGAAACTTACATTATCAGTAGTAACTCTCTTTTAATTTTAAAGCTTTTATTTTCCCAATTAGTGATTCTTGTCATTTATTTTAAAATATCAAAAACAGTGATCTTTTGGTATTAACAACAGCTTTTTAAAGTTTGCTATTGTATAATTAATTCTTACTGATACTGAAAATACTTGTAATAGGCTGCTTATTGTTTAGTGTGAAATGTGACATTTATATAAAATAATATAAAAATAATGTATTTGTCTTTCATTATTTTTGGAATATTTGTTTACATCCAGCTACACCTGATAATTGTAACGAAAAACAGAATGTGCTGCTGGGATTCAGATGTGTCTCCCTCATTCTCTGGGAGTTCAAGGTCCTAATTTTGATAGATAGAGCAAGCCACCCTAAGGCATTGCCCTGTCTTTGCCAACCCATAACAACTGTTACAGAAAGAAAAATAAAAATGCAGGCTAGAGACAGAGACAAACAGACAGACAGACACACACACACACACACACACACACACACACACACAGAAAGTGAGAGAGAGAGAGAGAGAGAGAGAAGGGAGAATTTTAGATAGAATATTTTTAAAGTTTGTCAGGCCCCCAGTTCTTCAGCTTTCCCTGAATTTTCTCAATACACAAGAAAGGTCCTGAGAAATTAACGAGGTTACAAAAAGAAATGCGATTAAACCTGCCACATCATGGACTCCTAATGAAGTAATGGGTAGTACTTAAACACAAACAATATCATTCTGGTAGTTATATCTTATTTTGGAGAGAAGGACTACCTACTCTGTAAGTGCTTACTAACTTACTAGAAATTTCTGTAAGAAAGACTATAGTTCTGCCAGAATTTACCTCCAATTCAGAAGTTGATTTAAATATGCTTCATTTTTTTTAGAGAATTTCTATATACAATAAGGGGTTCTAAAGAAACAACCTAAAATTTGAATGTAGCATTTCTGAAATAGAACACACACACAAGCATACACACAGGCACATGCATACATATACATATATATATATATATATATATACATATATATGTACTCCATATTTTAGTGCCATTGAGTAGATTTCTGACTTTTAATGACACTGTGAACAGCAGAATGGATCCCTGTTTGGTATTTTTGTGCCATCCTATCACTTTCCAGAGCTATATCATAGAATGCTCCCCTGCTGTTCATAGGGTTTTTGTGGGCAGTTTTTTGGAAGTGGCTGACCAGGTCCTTATTCCTAGTCTATCTTCATCTGGAAGCTCTGCTGAAACCTGTCTAACGTGATCTTGCTGATATTTGAAATGTGACTGGCATAGCTTTCAGCATCACAGCAACACACAGCTGCCACAGCATGACAATCGACAGATCAGTAGTATGGTTCCACGACTGGGAAAAGAACCCAGACCAGCAGTGAGAGTGCCAAATCTTAACCACTAGACCATCAAGGCAGCTTATATTTTACACAGACTCACTTAAATTTTTCAAATGCATTTTTTTTTTAAATATTGGCACCTGAGCTCCATCTGTTGCCAATATTCTTTTCTTCTTCTTCTTCTTCTCCTCCTCCTCCTCCTCCTCCTCCTTCTTCTTCTCCCCCTCAAAGCCCCCCAGTACATAGTTGTATGTTCTAGTCGTAGGTCCTCCTGGTTGTGCCATGTGGGATGTTGCCTCAGCATGGCTTGATGAGCAGTGCAGAAGAAATGAGGCTATGAAGAAACTAAGGCTGAAGTGTTTGAGAAAAACTCCCCCAAATCTCAGAACAGATAAGCTATAAAACCGTTGTCTAAACGCTAGTGTCATATGAGATTCAAATTCAGACTCAAATTCTGCTTTTACCACTAGCTGTGCAAATTTATTCATGTTACTCCACCTCTTAAAGCTTCAATTAAGCAGATATAACATATTAGGATTGTTCTGATGATTAAGTGACAATATAAGAAAAGTGTTTAGCAAATAGTGATCAATAAATATTAGTTGATTTTGCTGCTGCTGTTAATTCAATGTAAAAATGTTTCATAGATTAAGCACAGAAATAATGGCTTGGAGGTTGATTATAGTATTGAAATATTTTTGGATTTTGCTATTATTTTTAAAAGTATTTTTCTGATCATAAAGTAATATGGTACACAAATGCTCACTTAATAGATTACTTGTAACTTTCTCGTCTCTTTTCAGTGATTCCTATTTGCTTTTTTCATTAACAGTACTTGATGCTTCATGGAAAGAAGACTAAGTAGATATCAAGGAGTGATATATACTTTAAATATATCTGTATTAGTTGCCTTTTTTAATTAGGGACTTTTCCTTTGTGGTGTTATTATTGATATTTCTGATATGGAATTAGGACTACGGATATCAAAATAAATTTCTTAAGGGACGGGCCCAGTGGCGCAGTGGTTAAGTTCACATATACCGCTTCAGCGGCCCAGGGTTCACTGGTTGGGATCCTGGGTGCAGACCTATGCACCGCTTGTCAAGCCATGCTGTGGCAGGCATCCCACACATAAAATAGAGGAAGATGAGCATGGATGTTAGCTCAGGGCCAATCTTCCTCAGCAAAAAGAAGGGAATTGGAAGCAGATGTTAGTTCAGGCTAATCTTCCTCAAAATAAATAAATAAATAATTAAATTTCTTAAACTTTTACTAATATTCGATTAATAAAGCTTATAAATGAGCTCTTCAGCCAACTCTATTATCATGTTTATTCACATTTTCAGACTGTAAAATGATGATGTTTTCCATATGTAATCATACAGACTAATTAGTCACATTAAATTCAGAATTGAATATGTGTAGAAATATTTTATTTTTATCACCAACTGTAATCTTTTGGCAATTTAACACTTATTTTACGGTATAATAATATGAGAAATAGAATTATTAAAATGAATAACAATTAGAGTCTAAATAATTTCTGTTTTTCTCTATGTCATATAAATCCTACTGATAAGCACAAGTAAAGTTTAATTAGTACTTTGGTGGATAGACAGAACTTGCGCATTTCTTTTCTTTTAGGAAATAGTAATTATAAATACAATTCAAGAATGGCTGAAAGTACATCAATCCCTTTCCATTAGTGGAAGATAAATTCTGACAATTGCCTAGTAATAAAATCTGGATTTATTACACCCCCTGCTACTTCTCATTTCTCTAGAATATACAGGATGTTATGTATGGGGAAAATTACATGAATATCTCGTACTCTAAATAGTTATATAAGTTAATTACAGTCATAATAGAAAATAAATTAAATTTTTCCATGCAAATAAGTTCACTATTTAACATTCATTTTTGCAGTACCAATGATAAAAAAAGTTCCTAAATCTACAAAACTGAACTGATGAACATTTAAAGACATTTTAACTCATTTCAAAAGTGAATGCATAGTCCACAAAGATTGGACAGAGGATGTTTTGATGAGATTTGAAGGCCCAGCAGACAAGGATCACACTGAGCTGAGTGGTGGACTCTCATATACCACTCTACCATTAAGCATTATTAAAATTCAGCAAAATTACGATTCAGTACATACCATAGACCTTGAAGAATAACATCTTGTAAAGTCTTCATAGCCAAGATTCTGTTATACTTCCAGTAGGATCTGTATAAATTTCTCTTTTCTGTGTATCTTTTCTTCTTAGTTTTCCCATGCTCATGTTCTCATTATCTCTATGCTGTTTGACATCTTCTTCTAACATTCTCTGAATGATAGAGCAGTGTAGACATGATTAATGTTTGCACCTGAGGATAAGCTATATAGCCAGTGTTAATGGAAGAAAAATTTTACTTCCAAAAGTACTCCTGTATTTCTTAATTTCTTATATTTCTCAATTTAGAACTTGATGAACCTAGGGTATTCACTCTTACTTCACTCTTCCTAAATATTGTCTCTACTTTCAAATGTTCTCTGCCATAGCAGTGTCTCTGTAATACAGCACAATTTAGTGAAAATAAAATAAATTATTGACTGTAAGACTTAGGAATTCAAAGCCCATTTTATCCCAATAATACTTCTATGTGATGATTTTATAGAGAGAGATTACATGTATAATAAAAGTCATGGGACCTACAGCAGGGGCCAACAACCGTAATTTTGTTTTTAATTAAAGGGCTTGTCATGGGATATCCTATGGTGAACATTTTATAGATATCTGCAAAAATGCTCAAATGCTGGAGAAAGGATTAAGATATTTGATTGCACACATACACATACACATATCCTGAGATATGGCTTATAAATCTTTAATAAAGTTAAGGTCATCATTGTCCTCTAAAAAAGCATTATATTTTACATACTCTGTTTGTGACCTGGTAACTATCCAAATTATGTAAGCTTTAAAATATTCACACTAATTTTTGAAAGTAATTTCAATGCATGTCCAGTAGTACACATTTGTTAATTTTTTTGTTAAAAATCTTCCATTTTTTTCTTCTCTATGCATCAATTAGTAGAGAAAAATATCTTCCAAAAGTTTAATGTACGCAAGACATTTTGTAATTTTGCCATTTTTTAATTCTTTATTCTATTATATAAATAGGAACTGTTATTGTTAGATGTATCCTTGTTTATAATTTTTGACTTCCTGAAAAATCAAATTTCTTAAAAATATTATGACTGTCTTTATAACTAATACAGCTTTTGCCTTTACTTGAACTCTATTTTGTTTAATATTAATATAGCTATTCCATCATTTAGATTTTGATGGGTATATAGTTTTTTACAATTTAATCTCAACTTTTCTATAAAATTAAATTTTAAGTTTATGTCTTATTAAGAAGCAAGCTCTGTTTTTACGCAATCTGAAAATGTCTGACTTTAAATTTTAATGTTAAGTTAAAAACGAAGGCTATTTTTATATATTTGAGTCTATTCCTTCTAGCATAATTTGTATTTCTCTTTTATAACTTTGTAATCTCCTTTTATTTTGAAATATAACATATGTGCATAAAAGTGCATAAAATGTAAATGAACATAATAAGGTGTTACAGGAAAAAGAGCCAACTTGAAAAGCATCATTTGTCAGCACCCAGAGCCCCAAGTACCACTTTGTGATCATCATCCCTTTCTGCTTTCTGGATGTAAGTTTTATTCATGACAATAATTTTCACTTCCCCAAAACACTACCTGGGACTTTGAGATTGCATTGAATCTATAGACATATTTTTATAGAACGGACACCTTTAAAATACTGAAACATCAAATCTATAAGTGTAGTCTATCTCTTCATTTACATAGGCCTTTTAAAATGTTCTCAATACTATTTTGTGATGTTCATGGCAGAGATTATGCACATCATTGTGTTTCTTCCAAGGTATTTTGATAGTATTGATGTTATTGGAAATGGTCTATATCATTTAAAATTTTTTACTTCCTTTGCCAATTGTTGGTATATCAATACTTACATCTATAGTTTTTATATATTGACCTTAACTTTAATTATGTTGGTTTTTATTGAGATATAAGTGACATATAACAGTATGTAAGCTTAGGGTGTACAACATATTGATTTGATACATTTATACACCATAATAAAATTACCACTGTAGTGTTAGCTGACACCTCCATCATCTCACATAATCATCATTTCATTTTGTGGTAAGAACACTTAAGATCTATCTCTTTGCAACTTTGAAGTGTATAATACAGTACTGTTGACTATCATCACAATACTGTGTATTAGATCTCAAGAACTTCTAACTCCAAGTTTGTGCTTTTACCAGCATCTTTCCAATTTCCCCACCAAACCCAGCCTCTGGTAACCACCACTTTACTCTCAGTTTCTATGAGTTTGGCTTTTTGATTCTATATAATCAGTGTCACACAGTATTTGGTTTTCTCTGTCTGGCGTACCTCACTTAGCATAATGCCCTCAAAGTCCACCCATGGTGTAGCATGGCAGGATTTCCTTCTTTCTTAAGACTGAATAATATTCCATTACATGTATATCTCACAACTTCTTTATCCATTCATCCATTGATGGACACTTAGGTTGTTTGCATGTCTTGGCTATTTTGATTAATGCTGCAACAAACATGAGGATACAGATATCTTTTCAATATCCTGTTTTCATTTCCTTTGGATACATATCCAGGAGTGGGATTGCTGGATCACATGTTAGTTGTAATTTTAATTTTTTTTTAAAGATTTGTATTTTTCCTTTTTCTCCCCAAAATCCCCTGGTACACAGTTGTATATTTTTAGTTGTGGGTCCTTCTAGTTGTGGCTTGTGGGATGCTGCCTCAGCATGGCTTGATGAGCGGTGCCATGTCCACACCCAGGATCCAGACCAGTGAAACCCTAGGCTGCCAAAGCAGAGCACGTAAACTTAACCACTCGGCCATGGGACTGGCCCCTGTAATTTTAATTTTTTGAGGAACCTCCATACTGTTTTCCATAGTGGCTGAACCAATTTACATTCCCACAAATAGTGCACAAGTGTTTGCTTTTCTGCACATCCTCACTAAGAGTTATCTCTTGTCTTCTTTATGACGACCATTTTAACAGGTGTGAGGTGATAGGTCATTTTTGTCTTGTATTTCCATGATGATGAGTGATGTTGAGCACCTTTTCATGTACCTGTTGGGAATTTAGGTGTCTCTATTCAGTTCTTCTGCCCATTTTTACTTTTATTTATTATATTTTTGCTGAGGAAGATTCACCCTGAGATAACATCTCTACCAAGCTCCCTCCATTTTGCATGTGGGTTGCTGCCACAGCACGGCCAACAAGTGGTGCATGTCTCTGTCTGGGATCTGAACCTGTGAACCAGAACCACCAAAGTGGAGTGCCCTGAACTAAATCACCATGCCCTGGGGCCAGCCCCTCTTCTGCCCATTTTTAAATAGTATTGTTTGCGTTTTTATTATTGAGTTGTATGAGTTCTTTATATGTTTTGGATATTAACCCCTTATCAGATATATGATTTTCAAATATTATCTCTCATTCCATATGTTGCCCTTACATTTTGTTGATGGTTTCCTTTGCTGTGTAGAAACTTTTAGTTTGATGTAGTCTCACATGTTGATTTTTCTTTTGTTGTTTGTGCTTTTGGCATCATCTCCAAAAAATCATTTCCAAGACCAGTGTCAGGAGGTGTTTTTCCTATGTTTGCTTGTCTAGAGTTTATGGTTTCAGGTCTTGTGTTTAAGTCTTTAATCCATTTCAAGTTAATTTTTGTGAGTGGTATAAGATAGGGTCTAATTTCTGCATGTGATTATCCAGTTTTCCCAAAACCATTTATTGAAGATCCTCTCATATCCCCCATTTAGTATTCTTGGCTCTCTTGTGAAGTATTAGTTGACCACATATGCATTGTTTTGTCTCTGGTCTCTTAACTGTTCCTTTGGCCTAAGTGTCTATTTTTTGTTGCAGTACCATACCGGTTTTCTTACTACAGTTTTGTAATATAGTTTGAAATCTGGAAGTTACATACCTCCAGCTTTTTCTTGTTTCTCAGGAGTGCTTTGACTATTCAGGGTCTTCTGAGATTCCATACAAATTTTACCGCAGTTTTTTCTATTTCTGTAAAAAAAGGCTGTTGAAATCTTGATAAGTATTGCATTGAGTTTATGGATGGCTTTGGGTAATATGGACATTTCAGCGTTACTAATTCTTCCAATCTATGAACATGGGATATCTTTCCATTTATTTGTGACTTCTTCTATTTCTTTTATTAACATCTTATAATTTTCATTGCGGAGATCTTTGACCTCATTAGTTAAATTTATTCCTATTTATTTTATTATTTTTGATGCTATTGTAAATGAGATTATTTTCTTTCTTTTTCAGAGAATTCATTGTTAGTCTATAGAAATGTTACTGATTTTTGTTTGTTGATTTTGTGTCCTGCAACTTTACTGAATTTCCTGATTTGATCTAACAATCTTTTGATGGAGTCTTTAGGACTTTCTAAATATAAAATCATGTTATCCACAAATATAGACAATTTTACCTCATCCTTACTGATTTGGATGTCTTTTATTTATTTATCTTTTACCTGATTGATTTGGGCAGTACTTCTAGTATATATCAAATGGGAGTGGTGAGAGTAGAAACTCTTGTCTAGTTCCTGATATTAGAGGAAAGCTTTCACCTTTTGCTGTAGGGTATGGTGTTAGCTGTAGGCTTGTCATATGTGGTTTTTGTTATGTTTAAGTACACTGTTTCTATACCCAATTTGTTGAGTTTTTATCATGAGTGTATGCTGAATTTTGTCAATTGATTTTTCTGTATCTATTGAGATGATCACATGATTTTTTATCTTTCATTTATGAATGTGATATGTCACACATTGATTTGCATATATTGAAATATATATATACTTAAATTTCTCATAAGTTCTTGTCAAGATTTCGGTATTGTGATGGGCTAATTTCATAAAATGAAGTGCAAAACATGTAAAGTATTGCATCCTTTCCTCTTTGAAAAATTTTGTACAAAAGTAAGAACATGCCTTCCTTTAATGGTATGAATAATTCACCAATAGTTCTACCTGGTCTAGAGCTTACTTTGGGGGATGTTTTGGGGTTTTTTTTCAGTAGATGATTTAATTTAATAGTGTTCAGATTTTACATTAATTGTTCAATTTCTTAAGGTGTGTTGTTCAAATAATTTATCCATTTGTTTAAATGTCATAATTATTGACATAAGATTGCTCATTATATTTTTTGTTATCACTATCATGGCTGCAGGGTCTGCAGT